CCCGCCTCTGCCTGGTGACCAGAAAGTCGAGGGGGACGGGTAAAGTCTGAATTCCTCCCAGCCAAAGCCCTCGGGACAGGAGAAAACTCACCCCTCCTCCAAAGGATGTCTGTTAGAAGATCACTGTCTCTTGCTTCCAGGAGTGTGGCTGAGCTGAGACAGAGCTTGCCTGTCCTCAGGCAGGCTCTCCAAGCAAAGGAAATGCCCCTGCCGGCCTGAGCCCACAGTCCAGGCCCAGCGTGCAAGGGAGCAGCTCTGGAGAGATCTTGTGGCCCCAGAGGGGAGGGGGGAAAGAGAGGAAGGTGTACCTGGATAAAGGCTAGGACAGAATTCAGGAGAGCTCCGCGGGGAGGGCCTGCCTCTGCCTGGTGACCAGAAAGTCGAGGGGGGCGGGGAAAGTCTGAATGTGGCCGGATTCTCTGAATGTGGCTGGCCCGGAGTCTTTCTGAAAAGCCATTGACAATGACACTGGGACATGTTTCCTCTGCATATACTGGATTGTGGGGATCCAGTCTACTTGGATACTCACCTTCCTGGACCTGGAGGGAGGGGGGAGGAACTTGAACTTCCCACAGGGCAGGAAACCCTGACTGCCTTTTGGGACTAAGAGGGAGGAGGAGAGGGAGGGGGGGGAGTGGGAGGGTGTTGGGAAGAGGGGCGTAAATGGAAACTTTTATAATTTAATAAAATTACTTTAAAAAAATCAAAATATAATTTTGAAAAGAGTTATATCCACAGAAGATATGAATTATTAAATGAAAATAAAAGTGCAAGGCAAGGGACACATCCAAAGGAATTACTGGTCAGGAGACTACAGATGCCTTCAAAGAACTGTCAGTTGTTATGCACTTGGTGCAGAAAAAGAAACTCTGGAAATACACAAAGAAAATGTCATCATGAGCAAAATCTACAGAAACAGTACATTAAACCTAAATTATTCAGACACTAGGATTACCACCTAATGTGTGTAAAATAAGTATGGCTGACATCTTTAAATAGAAAAGGGACAGGACAGGCACTTGTAGTCCCAGCACCTGAGAGATGGAGACATAAGGATTAGGATTTCAAGGCAAGCTTTGATGACATGAACTTCTATTAAAAATAAAAAAGATAATAAAATTCAAAATGATTTTTAAATGCTTTTAAAGGCAACTTAAAAGTATAAATAATTAGCAAAGTTATTTATGGAAAACAAAGATTTCCTAGCGGAGAAATTTCAGTATTCCATACTAAAAGAACCAGTAAGCAGGAGGAAAGATAATTATGTGATATGAAAGTAGAGGAGAATTTTCTGAGGATTATAGGAACAAATAGGGATACTACTGGGGCTATAAAGGACAGAAGATTCAGGGGTGGAGTCAACAAAACTAAAGATGAACAAAATGCCTTCTGGATACCCACTAGTTAGTAAGCTTGTACTTGACCAACATAAAACAAAATCCATGTTTCTATGATGGTTTAGGTTTTTGTTTTTCCTTTTTTTTGTATGTGTTTGTTATATGCCTTTTTTCTGATTGGGTATTTTTTTGCTTTATTTGATTTTCATTTTTGTTTTTATTTTGGGAATAAAGAGAGAGAAAGAACATTAACTTAGGGGGATAGGGATGTGTGGAGAATCTGGGATGTCTTAGAGGTGAGAAATCTGACCAAAATATAGTCTACTGAAAATACAATTAAAAATCAAAATGTAATATATAAAAGAGAGTCATAGAGAACCATGAGTTTTAAATGAAAATCAAAGCACAAAACAGAAATTACTGGTCAGAGAGATCACAGACATATCCAAAACAGTATAGGCCATTGCCTCTGTTCTTGGTGACCCAACATAATTGCATGGTAAGACCCTAACACAAACAACAGCACACACTTTGACATCAGGACATAGATAAATCAATCTAAAGCCAGTCAAGAAGCATCTTCCCTTGGGCTAGCATTCAAATGATCAGAAAGTGCTTTGCAGGCTTCAGAGGGAAAAAAGTTATGAATCTCTTACCCAGCTCTGGACCCTACATGCCACAATAGTGACCTGCAAGGCAAGATGTGCCCCCATGGAACTATCATTATAGGATGATTAATTGCTTTTTTATTGGCCCTGAGGTCTTTAACATATTAGAGATATAATGTTCAGTATTCAGTATTATAACCTAAATCAAAAGCTAAATATTGGGGAGGTCACAAGCCCTAGGTTGGTATATGCTACAATCGCATTGTTAAATGGTCATGTGGTCCAATTGCAGTTCTGATATTTCGGTTTATGCCCTAAAGCTGAACTTCTCTCAACCTTTGTCCGAGAAGCTTCTTTATATAGTGGGCAATACAGAATGGCAGGACTGCTCAATGTGCTGAATAGAAGAGAAAATGTGTGCAGTCCTGTGTAGATGTCTTCATCAAAACCGTCCTGGCAACCACAAATACTCAGGAAATATCAGTGAAGAGGAAGTGGAAATATGTAAGACCCAGTTGATGTTGAAAATCTCTGTGGAATGCTTCCTTCTGGTCTTGACATGGCTGTGAAATCACAAACTCAGCAGTTGTGGTTACCTATATGCAACCTGCACAGGGTTAAGCCAGCTAAAATTCCAGCATAGATAGGGAGCTGCTCTTTACCCTTTAGTGAATCACTACTGTTAGCTGACAGCTGTTGGAAATGGAAGACTCACTCTTTATTAGGGGTGTGGCTACTGCTTGAGTTACTTGCTCCAGTGATTGTCCTATAACCATAAAACAATGGACAGTATTAATCAAGAAAATTTGAGTTATAGGTGACTACTTTAGTGTACAGTCAGGGAAAGTTTGAGAGAGCAAGCATGCTATAAATATGATCAAATTTCATTCTGTATATTATATTTTCAATAAATATTGTTAATTAAGAAAATTAGTGAGTAGCAATCTACTAGATTGAAAATAATCTTTGCTCTCATACACTATAAAACTTTGAAATGGAAATTACTCATTAACATATTCTTATGTTTATAAATAACAAACAATTATATACATTAACTATAAAAAAGCCAAGTGAAATTTTTGATATTCGTACTCATTTTATCTGTCAGCATGATCCAGTCATATCATGTCTTCTTAAGCTTTTGATTTGTTTCTGCTCTGCACATCATAGAACATACAATCTTGATGTGTGTTCAGTATCACATTACTGTCAGGCATCTTCTAGACTATTTCTCCTCCCTGTGTAACACTTGATCAAAATATGTGATATGAATCTTGTTCTTACCCATGGGTTTCATAGAAAATGAGGAAAGCCATGTAAAATGAGAGAAATGCCTTTGCCCACATTTAAACAAGTGTTGCAGGAGAAGGACCACTTGTTCATCCTGGCTACTTAGGCTCAAAATAATCACACAGAAACTGTATTAATTAAATCACTGATTGGCCAATTAGCTCTAGCTTCTTATTGGCTAACTCTTATATTAATTTAACCCATTTCTATTAATCTGTGTATCGCCACGTGACAGTGACTTACCAGCTAAAATTCCTAACATCTGTCCCCAGTGTCTCCATCATTTCTCTCTGACTTTACCCTTCTTTCTCCCTGCATACAGCCTAGCTTTCTCTGCCTAGTTATGTTCTTCCTTGTCATAGCCTCAAAGTAGTTCTTTATTAATTAACCAATAAAAGCAATACATAGACAGAAGGATCTCCCAGACCATTTTCCCTTTTCTGTTTAAAATAAAAGAAAGGCTTTATCTATAACATAGTAAAATTACATACAACAAAACAGTTATCAAGCAAAAATTACAGTTGTAATATTTACATCTACTTTATCTTTTATCCTACCTAAGGAAAACTATAACTATAAAATTTTCAACTCCATCAAAGACTCCAAAAGGATATAATATTAACTAAGTAAACAATAAGTCATTGTAAGCAACTTACAAATCTCTAGAATTGACAGAGACATCTCGCTACCTGGACAGTCACCCAAAGTTCTTCTGTATCGTTGGGGCATCTGTCTTAGACTACTGGCCCATAGTAACCAGCAGACTTTTTCATGATGCAGGAAATTTCAAAGACGGCTATACCTATATTCACAGTTTTTCAGTTATTTTCTTCTGTGTCCTGTAGAACATCTAGCAGACACTTTTATGAAGCAGGAACTCCGAAAAACAGTCTCACCTTTAGACAAATTGAGCAGTCATCTTTCTGTTGGCCCTACATATCCTGTTTATCAAGCAGTCCAGGAAAGAGCAGTTTCTTGCCCAAATGGCTAACCAACTCCATAATGAACCTCTTTTATGCCCATTTTCCCCTTGAAGTACCTTGGGCCGCCAGTAACAGATGTGTTTCATTGTCATGAAAAATCTTATGTTCTTAAAACGTTGTAAATGCCATATTCTGTATTCTTTGAAAGGTTTAAAGAATGCCTATCCATCTGAAATACATCTCTGTACATCTAGAAATCCTAACTAACATTACTACAAGCTTGACTATTATAGATGATTATCTATTAACTTATATTTCTTAATTATACATTAAATTTTTAAATGAGCTACACAAACACAATACCTTAATCAAGATCAGAAATACATATACGTATAACAACATTGATCTTAAATTTATATCAAAAAACCAAGATTGATACCAATGCAAATTATTCATATCTGTATCAAACAGGTACTGTGCTTTCATTTCTCAGCTGCCCAGACACAATCACACAGAAACTATATTAATTATAATACTGTTTGGTAATGTCTTAGAATTCTTACTAGTTAACTCCATTAAATTAATGCATTTCTATTAGTATGTGTATTGCCACATGGCTGTGGGTTACTGGTGCAGCATTTTATTCTTTCAGCAGCTACCTGGCATCTCTCTACATCTCTGTTCAGATTTCCCGCATGGCTTTACTCTGCTAAGCCATTGACCAAAACATCTTTACTCATTAACTAATAAAGGCAATACATATAGAGTAGGACATCCTATATCACACACAATCATCCCAACTAATGTACCACTGTTAGAGTGTGAGTGTTCAGGAAACTCACAGGTTAGATGGGCCATTATCAATCCATTGCCATTCGTCTTTTTTTGCATTATATGATAATCCAATCCAGTAAGTGTTTGGATTAACTTTGTCCTGAAGGAACTTCTGTAAGGGAAAAGACATATCTGATGATAAAATGTACTTCTGATTCAGATCATAACAGATCTTAGCTATTTTTATGTCAGTTCTCTGTTGTCCTGTCCTCCAATCCATCAAAGTTCATTTTTAAAGTAATTTCTCACTAGTGGCTAATTTATACCAAAACCAATCAATTACATAATTTATTTTAAAAAGAAATCAGATATCTAAAGATATTGGATTCATGAAATGATTTGTGACTGTGTTTCTTAGAGAAAGTCTCACTGTGTAGCCAAGGCTGTGCTTGAATTCACAATCTCCTTTATTCAGATCCCTAAATGAACATGGCATACCAGCTCCATATGTAATTCTGAAATTATGGAAGTATTCAAATATACCTTTGACTATAGTCAGTTCTACCAGTGAGACATGTTTGGATAAGGGTGGCCTAGAGTTTATGGGAGTGGCCAATCAAAGCTGTTCCACTCTAAGATCCTAAACTACCTGGAGTACCAGGACCCACTTGCTGGAGCACCAGGACCCCAGAGACCTAGGATAGAATCAGACAACTGGAGAAAAAAATGTCAATGTAATAATGCCTAATAATATTTACAGTACACAAAGATTGATTCCTAGCCCAATTGTCTTCCGAAAAGCTTCATCCAGCAATTGATGGAAATAGAGACAGAGACCCTCAGCCAAACTTTAGACCAAGCTCCTGCTAATGAGAAGGGGAAGGAGAAACCAAAGCGACCAAGGACTTCAGAAGAGAAGTCACAGAATCAACTACCCTTTACCCATGAGAGCTCACAGTGTCTTAAGAGACAACCACAGAGCCTGCATAAAACTTACTGGACTCTTTCTATGGGGCAGTTATGTAGCTTGGTCTTCTTGTGGGACATCTGACGGTGGGAACACGGGCTGTCTCTAACTCTGTTGCTGGGCTTTGAGACTCTATTCTTTATATTGCTTCACATTTCCAAGTATTAATGGGGAGGGGACAGGGCTGTCTGTTCTTACTGCAATTTGGTATGCCCATTTTTTTTTGTTGATTCCATGGGAAGCCTACTCTTTGCTGAACAGGAAAGGAGTGGTAAAGGATTGGGGGTAGAAGTCAGGAGGAAATGAAGGGAGAGGTTGGGAGGAGAGATCGGGGGAAAATATTACACAGGAAGTAAAATAAACAAATTTTCTAAAAGTTGAAAAATCCTGTGTGAAAAGCTGTGCATTAAACTTCATGCTTCAGAGAGGAAGCCATTCTGTGGTAGAACTTGATGAGGAGAGAGAAGATATTTGGAAATATTTAATGTACTTTACATGTGACATCCCAATGGAATGATTACTAAAATTACTAAATATATTTTGGCATATAATTTTTAGATTATCTACATTTTTTGTGTCAAATGGAAAATTATGCAATTACATTATATTGGAACACACTTTGTACTGTAATTATTCAAACTTTTAAATAAATTGCTGTATAAATTATGCGTCATGTTCTAAATGACAAAGGTTTCATGCTGATCCTGCAACTGTTTCTCCAGAAAAATATCCTCTGTGTATTTGAATACATTTCTTTAGTAACAAATGTAAACAGAAAATGTCAGGACCTTGATCATTTTGTTTTTTAAATACTCATTTATAGAGATAGATATCATTTTTGAAATATGAAAATATTATGAAGTAAATAATATGGTCAGATTCCATGAAAATCACAATGGGACTATCTAGTTAAAAATATTTATTGCATGGATCTTATATAATTTTCATTTTGAAAATGGGCCAAGAAGTCAGTTAATTTCTCTATTATCATCTAACTGCTCACTTCAGACGCTTCTGGACTCCAAGGAGCAAGCAGTAAGTTCCAGGTTCTAGTGTAGCTGGCACTCAGGAAATAAATGTCAGTCACTGGATATTCTATACAAAAGGGTTAAACTTATTCATGGAAAATAGGATTTTCTGAGGGATTCTCTTGCAGATTCTTGAGAAAGGGAGGAGATTGCAAAGATACAGGTGTCTCTTAATATCAAATCTCTTTGTCAAAGACCCTGTGTCCTGACAATAAACCAGGAGCAGGAGTGAGTTTCTGGGGAGACTTACTGCAGTTTTGCTCACATTACTGGCAAACCATATACAATCTTGAAGGTTTGGTTTCAAAAACATGCCAGCACTCAGTATGCCACTATCCAAGAATAGAGGCACACTCCCGGAGAATAGAAAAGCATGGAAGAGTCTACGGTACCAGTTCGTCATCATCGTCTATCTTCAAAAGAGACAAGCTGCAGTCCTGGCAGGTCTGTTTACATCCACTCCAGTGTTTGTTGTCCATTATGAAATAACATTTTATGCCAGAGCAGAACCAGTATCCTTCAACATATTTGCCTATAACAGAGAAGGTGGATAATTAAACTTCTTATTCTCTGGCATACTGTTATCAGAGAAATGCATTTATCAAGCCTCTATAACTAAGAAAATTATCACGGCTCTTAGAAATTGAGATTCTGGAATGCAGAGAGACTCCTATATACCCATGCTGTGTGTAATGCTGTTTATAACAGTAGAGATACGGAAACAGCTGATGTATCCTTTGTGGATAAATCAGTATGAAAAATATAGCAGATGAACACAAAGGAATAGTGTTTATCCTTTAAAGGGAAGTAAATCCGCTGGGCATGGTGGCTTATGCCCATGATCTGAGCACTTCAGAGAGTGAGACAGGAGGGTCACCAGCAGTTTGAGGTCAGCCTAGGCTAAGTAGTGGTAACTTCCATACTAGCTTTGTCTATAAAGTAGATTCTAAGACAGCCTGCAGTACAGAGCCTCAACACCTCAACATCACCAATACAGATGCTGACCACTATGACAAACATAGATGAACTTGAGTACGGTGTGCAAAATGAAACAAGCCAGGCCCAGTACTAAATTTTATGACTCAATTCAGATGAGCGTTCTAACACAGTCCAAGTCTAAGAAACAGAGCCATGTAGTAAGGAGCTTGAGGGTGGAGAACAAACACTGGCTGTTCAAAGGCTGTTACAAGGATGACAGAACTCTAGATTAATAGTAATGCCCTGTGCCCACACTCGTTCATACATACTGTTCATTAGAGTTGTGCTGTGTTCTATGTTAGATGCTCTTATTTTAGGAGATATAAGAGACATATGGGAGAGCTTGTGAAGGTGATAGTCTGTTCTGATTATGTTGATGCATTCAATGGTACGTCCACATACCCAAACATGTCAAGTTGAAAATAATGAATTGTGTTCAATTTGTGTAACAACACCTCAATATAATTATTTTGTTTATTGAGGGAATGGGGAGAGCCATGTTCAATTAGCAAACTTTATCTTCAGTCTTTGTTTTCCTATGAAGATGTATCATTGTATATCTCAGGCTGGCCTGGAATTTGTTGGGCTACATAGACTCTTCTCAAATTTGTAATCCTTCTGCCTCAGCCTCCTAAGTACAGGGATTACACTGTTAAACTATCATTTACAGATAACAAAGTTTTTTTTCTTTTTTAAATAATAACACAAAATGTTTTCTATGGATCTGGAATACTTCAAAAATATTTTTGGAGCTTTTTCTTTTCCTCGCACATATTTTATAATATAGCATCATCATTTTATAATATAGCTATCATCTGTCCTTGCTTAATAAAATTGTCAACCCTTACTATTATAGCAGGGTAAGTTCACATGCAAAAGTTCTTTGTAAACTCTAAATCCTGAACAATTATTTAATAATTATTGATCAGTTGAATCAATAAAAGATAACCAGTCATGATGCAAAATAAAAAAATTTCCTGACAACACTTGATATGTGTATCTTTTAGGGTTTTCAGGGTTCTTTACTGCTCCATAAAACGTCAACCATTAATCCACAGACCACCAGTGTTAAAAGTAGCTCACAGGACTTCAAATCTTCTGGAGAAGAATCAATACAGAATAGTGCAATTCCTTATTCAAGATCCCCTCCATACCTGTAAGCTGTATGCAATCTAAAACTTTAGTTTCCCCATAGCATCTGTTCTGTTCTCTGTTGGAGGAGTGAAGTTCCTTCTGATGTTTGAGGTCATCAAGCTCTCTAGAGTTATTTCTCAGCATTTCTTTCATCACGGAGTTTGCACTTTGCAGGGTGTGATACTGTTGAGTGAGGTTGTTTAGAGTTTTCTGCAGTTCATGCTTGTTTCCACTATACTGAGAAACTAAAATTAATAGCAGATATAACTCCAAAAATGCTCATATGGAATAAACATTAAAATCTAAGATTAGAGAAAAAAACTTCATTTTTATACCAACATATGTCATTACTTTAATTTGTACTTTAAAGTATAGAAATTAACATATCAATTGACTATAGAAATTGAAATATCAATTTCCCTATGTCAGTAGATAGAGTTCTATCAGCAATATAATATAAAGTAAGTGATCGGTACAGTGGAAAGAAATTGCAGTGGAAGTACAATACCTCCCAATTAATTCACATTTTAACACCACAAAACTTACAAATAACTAAGTAAATATTCAGTGAACACTTAGCACAACATGAAAATGTGAATGAAGAAACATTAAGAAATGATACAATTCTCACTGGAGTCTTTGGAAAGCATAATATCCATATATGTAGCTGTGTTTTAACCCAGACTGAGAGTGAGTTTCTCTAAACATTTGACAAAATCCAAAATCTCTCAGGCTTTAATGTCTCTGTACAGAGGAGGTATTTTCATCTAACAGTATCTTAACATACACCGAGTAAAATAAATTAAAGCTCATCATTTCTTTTGCACATCTGTTTCTCACAGAATGCTTACATAAGATTCACAATCACCTGAGTTCAGAAGATTGACTATCACAAAGTTGTCAGAAGGCAACTGCCACCAAGTCGTCAAAAGGAATATGACCAAAACTGAGACAAAATGAGGCAGCTCCTAACAGCCGCAGAGTTCATAGGATAGGTATGTAAGAGAACAGGATACTCTAGTGTCAGAAAGAAAACATCCAAAGTCCAGAACAATGCGGCACATCCTTAATTATAGCCAGAACAATGGACAGTTTTAACTGCATAAGTAGTGTCTAAAGTTATTACTTAGGCAGAAAGGCAAAGAAGATGCTTATCAGTTACTCACCGTATGCCACCAACACTGCGATGGCCACCAGAAGGGAACAAAGGATTCCCAGAGATATTGCAACGAGGTACCAGGGGGCTAAACATTCTTAAATAAACAAAACAAAGTAAGAAAATTGTCACTATGAAAAGAGCACATCCTTTTACTAATTATAATTTTGCATAACATGGCCTCTAAAAATTTTACAGAAGTCCATCTTACAACCTGATTGAACAAAATTGTGCTTTCTAAATTGTAGATCTCTCCCTAAAACTTACCTACTGTAGAGATGTTACATTTGCTAAGTTTCACAAGATTTCAAGCTTTGTATTCTCAATCCTGTCTCAGCCTAGAAGTAGCTGAATGACAGACATGTGCCCCTACTCCTCCAGTTCTACAGGACCAAAAGTGCATCCTTCAAAAAGCACTGGAGGGACAGACACAGTCCAAGTAGAAGATACCAAACTGGAGTGTGCAGTCCACCAAGTGAGCATAACTGAGGATGAGGAGGAAGGCAAGAAGGTCAATGTTCTTGAGATCTGTAGAGAACCTTCGCAGTTTGGAGCAGACCTGTATACAGGCTTATTCTTAAAGGAGCCTAAAGTTAACTCTCTCTTTTTTTCCCCTAAATCCCATCTTCTTCAGACAATACTGAACACTTTTGCGTATCTGAGGTTTTGGAAACATGAAAAAGCCATGTATCAGATTATCACATGGTAAAAACAGTAAAGGCTTGCAGCTGGAGTCAATTTGTGACAGTGTGAGCAGACTGAGTACAGGAAAAAAAAAGAGGCGGGCAGTGTTGGCTCATGCCTTTAATCCCAGCACTAGAGAGACAGAGACTCATAAGGCAGATCTCGGTGAGTTCGAGGTCAGCCTGGTTTACAGAGTGAGTTCCAGGAAAGGCTCCAAAACTACAGAGAAACCCTCTTCAAAAAACAAACAAACAACAACAACAACAACAAAACAACAAAAAAGAAAGAAAATAGAGACTTGTACATTTTATTAATAAACTTAATTTTTTTCGACATTTCTTCAAATGCAATATGATTTAGTCCTCCCCACCCTCACTGCCCTCTCCTCTCCCCTCTTCCTCGGCAGCCTTCTTCCCAAGAGACTTTCTCACCGATGGACTATTGTTGCTGCTTCATTGCATTAGATTTTGGGAATACTTCAGACAGTTAAAGCACCTTATGTTAGAGTGAAAGTTTTATTTCTAAAGCATGCTTTTCATTTCTTTGAGATTTGTTACTCTAGAACATTTGGTTTTCTTTAAACTGAAGTTTGTCTGCTATTTTTAAAAGTTTCAGAATTCTTCTTGACTAAGCTTAATTAAATCCTCCTAATGTTTTTTTTTCAAATTTGACGGAAAGTATTAACTTCTCATTACTTGATTCTCAAGAACTTTTGCTTATAGACTCCTATTGCTCTACTTTGCCAATAACTAATTAGAAGTAGAGGTAAAGTTGTATTTTTTCAGTCTCTTTATCTGTTTTTCTTTATTTTAAAAATTGACTACTTTATTTTTTAACTTATTTTTGAACCGTTTTGTACATGATGACTTTCCCACTCAAACTCACCTCCCTCCTACTATTGTGTAGCCCAACTCTTTTCAATAGAAGCCAGTAGGATATTGTTTTCAAATGTAAAAAGTTACAAGGCAAAAAATCCAAGTAAATTTTAATGTTTAAAACATTTACCTCTGTGAACAGTTCCTCTCGGCCCTTGAGTCTCATCATGCCTTCCTCGGGTCTGCAGTTCTGACTCACCAAATCTCACAGTTGTATAAGTGATCTCCTCATCACTCATCTCGGTAATAAGTAAAGTATGCTTTGCTTTAAAACCAGACCTTGAGTGACTTCTAAAGAAAAAATTAAAATTTCCACCATTAGGAAGATACCTGGATCTGATGCTGCAGTGCGGTAGGAAGGGGTGGGATCTGATCAACTTCTATAGCAATCCAAACAGCCTAACAGGGACTGAATTCCACTAGAGGTGAGAAGTCTTTGAAGATTTTTGTTAAAGTCATTTATATTGCTATTAGTGACAGTAATTATTATTAGAAAATTCAAAATGAATTTAAAATATACTAATAAGTTATTGTAATATTGGCACAGCCTATTTGTTCAAAATATTCAACAAATATAGAAATGTTAGGAAAAATTGGTACCACTGAAAAACATCATTGAAAAACTTTAACACTAACAATTCAAATAACAAAAAGTCAAAGCTTTCTGAATAAATAATTGTTTTTAGTTGTGAGCCTAGCCTTTAAATGCAGGACCTTTCCCTGTCACTTAGCTGGCTTTTGCTAATCTGTTCCCCATGCTGGATTACCTGGCCATTCCTCAAAGAAATAAGGGAAGGAACTCCATCTTGCCTCAGCTAGATGAGCCATGCTTTATGCAAGCCCATGGGAGGCCTGTCCTTTTCTGAATGGAGAGGGAGGAGGAGTGGTTGTGGGCGTAGGATGGAAAATGGGAAAGGAAAGGAGGGGAAACTGATTGATATATAAAATCAAAGAAAAACTATTATTTAAATAAAAAACAAATAAAATTTTTCTTTAAATTTATTTACATATTTTGATAAACACACAAGTCTAAAAATGTTTTTACAGTTTTTTAAATTGTACAGTACTCTCAGAGTCTCCAAAAAAGCACCTTCGAAACAGTATTTAAAGATTAATTCTGCAGATGATTAACATCTGGGGCTACAAGACACATATATATTTCTTGGGTTAAAGCCCAAACCTGAGCTGCCAACCTCTCCACCCGGCCTCAGTCTACACATTCATCTTCAGGACCAGCCTGGTAAATGCAAGAAAGTAGAGGTGAGCCTACTGAGTGGGGTAACCCAGACCCAGAAAAACAAATGCCAAAAGGTGCTTTCACATCTGTGGCTCCTGTCTGAAAGTCTTCAGACATGCTACAAAACCTGGAGTGACTGTAGTAACTAGGAAAGTGGAAAGGGGCAATGGAAGGGTGGTGTGTGGCACCAATAGAGAGAAGCATAGCAGGATAAAACCTGAAGTTTAAATATTAAGTCATTTCATGTACACAATAATTTCACATGTTATATTCCAGTATATAATGTTGTCGGACGAGCCTACTTGAAAATAAATTTTGTCATTATGCTGCAGCCATTAATGTCCTTAAAGGATTCAATCCTCTCACTCCACTTTTATGTGGGTTTTAGGGATATACTCAGGCAGTCAGTCAGGCATGTGTAGTGTACTTTACACACTGAGCCATCTTACCTAGCTCTTATTATGACTTCTTCAAGATGAATAATGTATAAATATTTGATGCAGTTAAAGAGTAGTAAACTCCATAGATCCCTCCACCTTATTTTCTTAGCACACAGGAGTCTCTTCGCACTCAGAAAGAGAATGACTAGTGCTGAACCCCAGTTTTCACGTGCTGCCAGAGTCGACCAGATCTGCTACAGGCAATAGGGTTTCCCAATCCGTCCAGCTCTCAAGTCAAACCATGCGAAATTCTCTAGAGTACAAAGGATCATGTGGTAGAAATAGAACAAAAGCAGCTGTTACCTGTGATTCTGATGAAGTAAACCGAGCCCTGCAAGTGAGGGACAAGTTGAACTTTCCTTCCTGGCCTGGTCCTCTCAGAGCTCCAAGAGAAAAGGCAGAACTGAATCGCCAGCTCATGATTTTCAGCCCCTCCTCTTGATAGAAACTGCAAAGAGGAAACTGCATGATGCAAGCTGATGCTGACAGAAAGGAAAGAACCAACATATCATGACAGATGCTGCAAATCATGTCCAAAATCAATATTTGAAAGCTGAGGTGAACATTCCTGCAAGAAAGTGAAATCAGTGTCCTTAGAAAAACCAGTAGTAAAGAGAAGTGACTGACATTCCTCCACTCTTAATTTTATAACAGGCTGTTGGACATTTTCCCTTTTGTTACTGTTGGAAAAGAAAACGTACTTCTTGTTTTCTAGGTATGTTTATTACAGGTAAGTGTTTTAAGATTCCTTTAAAGCGCTCTCTTTAAAATCACTCCAATGTGAAACACTTGCTGAATATTCTTGCTTTTCATTCACACAGAATGTTTACAGGGAATGCTGATGTCATTCCGTATGAAGGAGGTTTTTTTGCTTTGTTTTTGCTTGTTTGTTTGTTTTCTGATTTTTTGAGACAGGATTTCTCTGTGTAACTGTCCTAGCAGTCCTGGAACTCTCTTTGCAAACCAGACTGGCCTCGAACTCACAAAGATTCAACTGCCTTTGTCTCCTAAGTACTGGATTAAAGGCATGTGTCACCACTGCCCAGCCCACACAGAGCAGTTTTATGACTGATGTATTCGTGGTGCTGGGATATCAAATCTAAGACACTGAGCATGCTCAGCAAATGCTTTATCACTCAGCTATAGATATAGACTTCTTTGTTTTATTTTGTTTGTTTTTTGATTGGTTAATTGGCTGATTTGGTTCTTTTTCTTTGAGACAGTTGTTATATTCAGACTATGTAGCACAGTCTGACCTCAAATTTACAGTCCTCTCAATTTGTCTCTTCAGTGTTGGGATTATAGTTGCATAATACTGTACCAATTTATATCATGTTTTTGATTTATATTTTCTAATAAGCAGTTTACATTTCTACATTTTATAAATATTGATATACAAGATTTTAAAGCAATACACAATTATCAATCAGTTGTGCATGGCATAAACTAATTAGATAATATCTACTGCTGAACATTCAAGTTGTTTTATAATAGTTTGTTGTTGTTAATTTAAAAACTACATGTGATATACTTTAGAATATACTTAGACATTTTATGTATGAAGTCAAGGAATTAAAGTAGATATATATTTAAGGAACTCTGGTATAGATTATAATACTCCTTCTTGTTAACTTATATAGTCTACCATTTGGTATACACAAATATTCACAATTAATAATTTTAAAGATGAGATAAGGTGAATTTTTCTTCTATGTGAGTTTTGCTTGTGGTTTTGTGAATGATGATTTCTGGAATGAAGATTTCTTTGTGTCAGCAAACCTAATTTGCTGATTAAAATAGCAATGCAATAGAGAGATTGTAACGTTGTAGATTTAGAGGCTATTTACCTTATTACAGGCTATCTTTAGCCCCCTAAGTAGCCTTTTTTGCCCACTGTGTCAGAACTAACATCCTGTGACTAATAGATAAAAAAATTCTTTTAATGCTATCAGTTTAGCGGACCACTAACATCCACCAACATGAACGCAAGGAACTTCATCTGATGACCTGTAGAAAAGCTTCCATCTTTCTGTAATCGTGTCTCTGATGTGGCCACCAATGTATGCTGAATTTGCCTTGATATATAACTTTCTCTGTTCTGATTTATTTAATGACACAAAGTAACTAACTCTGGATGTATAAATAAAGCCTTCTAGAATACACAGGATATAGACCCAATGTGAACTCAGAGGGCCTGCATTTTAGCTTGCCACAAGCATGAGTTTATACCTGGAGAGACATGAGTGGAAACTCCAAGTACTCTGACTTCAGATAAATTCAATCATTCACGAAGTCTTTGACCACAGCAACAGAGAAGTAGAACTTCTTTTCAGGCTTGCTGCGATTATTTAATAAGATATAAAATTAGCTTTTTGTTTAGTTTTCTTTGAGGCAGAGTCTCACTGTGTACTCCTGGCTGGCCTGGAATTTGCTGTGTAGAACTGGCTGTCCTCAAAGTCACAGTGATTGCCTGCCTCTGTTTAAAAGTGCTGGGATTAAAGGTGTGAGCCACCACATCAGCTTCACAAATAAAAATTTTAATCATGACCTGGAAATGGATAGTAGACTTTCTTTCAACATGAAACATTATATTTAAAGTCCAAAATTCCAGTTTTTCATTACCACATAAATTTGAGCAAATCACTGAATCTTCAAACCTGTTTTTTTCACATGGTTATCTAGAGAGTGTGTCATCTACTCTCTAAGGTTGGAATAAATGCCATCAGGAATATAGACAGAGGCACTTAGATTTCTAGCCTGTGGAAAGTTCTCTAAGTCACAGTATGGTCTAGGTTTTCTACTTGACCTTGTCAAAGGGTGAAGGAAGAACAGGATGGGATGGCATATGAGCCAAAGAGAGGAACTGAGAGATCCACGGCTACTCTAGGAAATCCATGTTGTTGTCATCAGATCCAGACATTTGTGTCACACTCCCATGGAAATGTTAATGGTGCTGGGACCTTTTTCCATCTTTATCTCCTGAGAGGTCGTCATACTGACCACTGGGACTAACCACATGTAGGATGTGCTTCTTTATGTTTTCTACATATTGTATGCCTCCTCTATTGTCAGGCAAAGTCTGTGAGCAAGAACATCAGATCTGTTTTGTTCATTATTATGACTGAAGCATGAACAGGAGATGCCTACCGGCGTGCTTGATAATGGAGGAGTCAGCTCACAGTACCTGAACACAGAGTGGACAATGTTTTTATTGTGGACATAGACAGGAGGAGGCCAAGTCAAAGAGCAGCAGTTTCCTCTGAGTTCTGTACAACTAAGCTCTGAATTTCTAGGGAAAAAAGTAATGTGTTAGTAAGCACAATTTGCATTAGAAGATAACATCACATCAGACATAACTGATAGACATTTCCACAGAGGTTCTTTGATTAAGTTCTACACAAAATATGAAATATCAAAATTAATCTCAGCAAAGTTATAAAACAGATAATGAGAAACTTGAAGAAAGACTTTGTTTCCTTGAATTTTGTATTCTAAATTTATTTTTGTGCCTAAAACCACCACACATACACACTCAAATATATATTCATCTTTCTGGTTTGCTTGATGTAAATGCCTTTATTTGAGAAAACACAACTGCCTGTTCTTATATGTTA